TCATGCACTAGAGTGCACGCTGGACTTCATCGGGGTGTGTTGAACAAATGAACTAGCATCCTGTCTGCTCAGAAAGGAGTTCACTTGGTGAGGTTTAGAAGGTCAAAGCGTCTGGTGGGCACTCTGTGGCACAGCAGGCTAAACACCCCATAGGAATGCTGGTTGAAGCCCTGGCAGCTCTGATTCTGATCCAGATCCCTGATAAGGCACTTGGGCATACAGAAGACAAGCGCTTGTCAGCATCCTGGGGCGTGTTTCAGGCTGCAGGCTCCCGTCTGGCACAGCCACAGGCATTGTGGTGGTTCGGGGAGTGATCCAGCAGATGAAAGATATTCTGTGTGTGTGTGTGTGTGTGTGTGTGTGTGAGAGAGAGAGAGAGAGAGAGAGAGGGAGAGAGACTCACCCATTTCCCTGTGACTCTAAGCATAGGCTAACGACTATTTCCACAGCACTTGTGCTGTGACAGGAGGGATAAGTGACCCACCCACAGATGATGCATACATGAGGATGTGTGTGGCTTGGGCACAGGTACTGCACACTTGCATAAGAGGCTGGGGCGTCTGCAGATTGTGCTGCCCCCGGGACGCCCTGGGTCAGGCTCCTGGGACACCAGAAGGCAGCTCTTCTGCTCGTCTCCAGCTGTTGTCTACTGGGGAGGAAAGCCCTCCAGCTTGACAAAAGTCCTTGCCGGTTGACTTTCAAGCAGTCCCTGGGGCAGTAGCCCACACTCCTCCCTCCCCGCCTTTCCCAAGGCAGAACTCCTTTGCCACCTCTGCTAGTTCCCGGCCAGTCCTCTGGGGAGTGGGTGTGGCCTGTGGAGGTGGCTGAGGTTTTGCCAGTTACCCTCTTGGTATACTCTGAGCATTGACAGTGTACTTGGATGAGGTCTAGGAAAGTGAAATCGCAGCCCCTGAGTTCCTCGGACCCTGGAAATGAACCTTGGCAGAGAAATGGAGAGCGGTTGATTTGGCTCCTGCTTGGACTTGCTGTAGAATTGCTAATCCCCAGGGAGAGCTCTGTGCTTTCATTGCTGATTTTTTTCCCCCTCCTTGGCCCTTATTTGCCTGGGAAAAAAACCTGCTGATCTGAGGAAGCCCTGGCAAGTTCTACTGGCAAGGACACCTTTGACCCACGCCTGATCCCAACCAGAGCAAACCTTGGGGACTCTGGGTGCCTGAGGTATTGCTTGCCTCCCTGGATTGACAGCTTCCTGCTGGAGTTTTGTGAGTTTGTTGTTGAAGCTTGGGGAAGGGGTGGGGTGACTGACGGGGAGCACCCTTCTTACTGATGTAAGCTAACTGGGCGGGGACGGAGCTGGCCCTAGGAGCTGCGGTGCACCTGGCACTGGGTGTTAGACTGAACTTAATTGACCTGACACTGTCGACGTAATATCAACACTGTGTGGTTGCTGCACTCGGCTGTGCACTGCTCGGACAGAGCTTACACGAGAGCAATGGTGCTGGCTGGTTTTGGAACCTTTCTAGAGGGTTGGGGACTGGTCGCCGTTGCAACCTAAGCCTTCCCAATGCCAGATATGACAAATTGCTTTTCCCTTCAGAGTTTGAGGTATAATTTACATAATATCACGTCTACCGAGGTGTTATTTATACACCATAAAACTCAAATAGCACAAAGCATTTAAATGTGAAATTCAGTGAGTTTTAATACCTTTTGAGTTGTACATCCATGACCCCAATCTAACCTGGAAGACTTTAACACCTCAGGGAACCCTCGCTCCTGTCCGTAGCTACTTCCCAGCTCTCCAAAGCGTTCCTACTTTGCTGTCTCTACAAGTTTGGACTGCCGGCGTGGGTGCTCTTGTCTCTTGGTGTGTGCTTGAGTTGTTCCCACTTCGTACCTGTTGTGAACGATGTTGCTGCCGACATCCTGTGCACATCTTTGTGGGGACTCACGTCTCCCTGTCCCTCTGGCTCACGCCGGGAGCGAAATGCTCAGGCCACGTGCTAGACCTCTAGGGGCAGGCAGCATTTTGGGGATCTGTAAGCTTGTTCCCAAAGACAGACCATTTGGCATGGCCACCGGCAGTGCCTGGGGCTTCCGCCTTCTCCACATCCTTGTCAACACTTGTTAGGGCCATTTTCATGTTAGCTATTCTAAACAGTGCCTGCAAAGTGGTATCCGTTGCTAACTGGTCACCATAGGTCTTCTTAGAAGAGAACCAAGTGCCTTTGGACATCATCATCCTGGAAGCCAGTTAGGGTTCCGTCCTTGTTTCACAGATGAGGAAACCGAGGCCCAGGGGCTTGTTTTACTTGCCCAAGGCAGTAACTGGCCAGTTCAAAGTATCGATGGAGAGATGAAACTGTCCAATGTTGAATGAAGGACCCGCTGCTTGGACAAAATGTCGTCACGTTTCTACTTCCTGTGTCTTTGGATCAAGCAATTCTTTAAGATGCACTTAGGAAATAAAGCAGCCCACTGTCTCCTAATACAAAATATGTGTGACAAGACACCTTTTCTGTGGTTCCGTTCGAGCCGTAACTGCTCCTCCCTTCTTCCTGGTACGGCCGCATCCCAGCTCCCTAGCCCGTGTGGGTTTTCGTCCACTCGGTGGCTGTGAGCCCAGGGGTGTGCGCCACAGCCCTCGGCACCACTCCTGTGGGTCCGGTCTCCTCCAGCTCAGAGGAATCCCCTGTCTGTGTGTTCTTTGGTCTGTGCATACTTCCACCTAGCCAGCTAGAGACTGCCAAGGGAACCGGCTGAAGTCCGAGTCTAGCAGCTTTATTAATAGTTACAGCCTTAAATGCGCATTCTTGTATGCCTGAACTTGACAAGTTTAGGGCAGCAGCTAACGGGATTGTACAACCGTGACTTTGGACCTCAGGGATTCATAAATGTGTTTTCTGCTCACCAGGCAGGAAGTAAAACTCAAATCGCCACAATCATCCAAACTCTAACCTGCTTCAAGCCTTGATGGAAAATCCTAATCATTTTTTATGGAGGGTAAATCAGTTACCCTTGTAGAATTTTCCACTCCAATGGGGAGCCGGGTGAAGCTGTATTTAGCCGCTTCACAGCCCCCTGCCCGCTCTACCGGGCTCCAGCACGGCAGGCCTGCGAAGCGAGCAAGGCGGGGTGTAAGTCTCCCTTATGTTTTTGAAGCAATAATAATAATAATAAAACGGAAGGGAGAGGTGAAGACAGGAGGGAAAATGGGGGAAAAAAGGCAGGATTAGGAATGGGACCACTTCTGTGACAGGTCACTAGAGGCAGGATGAGAGTATGACAAACACCTGGAATTCTAAAGTTAGCAGCGCTCACAACTCTAACCGTAGGATGGCTGGAAGGCACTCCATCTTTTTCCTGTGTTTGTGTGTGGGACCTCCTGCTGCAGCAGCCTCGCTGCTTGCTGTCCTTCCTGGTGGATTGCTGAAGGGCCAGCCCACAGCTCTGCAGGCTGACGGAGCTGGGGCTGGACTGCAGAGTGGCTGCGCGGTGGAGCACACGGCAGCGGGCGTTCTGCAAACAGCGGGAGCCCTTGGCGGGACATCTCTGGTTGAGTGCAGCTTTGTCTTTGTTCGTTCCTGTTTACAGATGCAATGCAAGTTAATTGTCCTCGCTGTGAAGGTTCTTCAAAAAGTTCATGGACCGGCACATGTTTGGTGCTCATGTCCTGCTTCACGGTTCCTGGGTTTGAGTCCAGCTTCCTGCGGATGTGCCCCCCTACTGGGGCTGAGGTCGTGGGCAGCAGGGTCGCCGCTATCCCCCCCCCCCCCCCCGCAGGACCTGGCTTGAGTTCTGACCTCCCAGCTTTGGCCCTTGCCAGCCCTTGGGGAGATGGGAGATCTCTCTCTTTGTTTTTCTCTCTTCCTGTTTCTCTGCCATTAGTATTGAACATATTGGCAAAACTGGAATTTAAAAACTTAATTTATTTTTGACGCGGGAAGTTTTTATTTTAGGAGGACGTTGTGGCACTGCAAGTTAAGCTGCTGCCTGCATGGTTGGAGTCCCGTGCGCGCGCTGGTTTGAGTCCAGGTTGCTCTTTTCCTGGTAACGCTCCTAGAGAAACAACAGAAGATGGTCCAAGTGCTTGGGCTCCTTCACCCATCGGGGGAGATCTCTGTGGAGTTCCAAACACTTGGCTCAGCTTAGCCCCAAGCCCTGTCTCCATTTGGGGAGTGGGTCAGTAGGTGGAATCTCTCAATCTCTCATACTCTCACTCCATTCATCTCTCTCTCTCTAACTCTGCCTTGCAAATAAATTTTTTAAAAACATTTTGCCTTCTCTAATTAAATAAAAATTTCTTTATTAGTAAATGAATTTTCATAACCCACCCCACATCACAAAGTAGATTTTAAAAATCTCAAGCAAGGTCTTCATTTGATCACAAAAGAGAGGAGAGAGCCGGGTCCGGTAAGAGAGCTTTGATTTTTTTTTTTTTCTTTTTAGCTAGAATCACGTGGTAGTGAAGATTGTATGTGAATTCTGTAGAATGGGGAAACCGGTTCAGGCCAGAAACCACCAGACCTCCATCCGTGTATTGAGGAAGTCACCTGCATGTTTCTCTAATGAAGAAGTTATGTGACACACATGATTTCTTGAGAGAGTACCAAGATTAACATAGTTGCTCACTTAATTAAAGAGTTTGAACCTCAGAAATCCTCTGAGGGAGGTGCTGTTAGCTCCAGCTGACAGATAAACAAACTGAGGCTGCACAGGGAAAATGATTTACTCAAGGTTTAAATAAATTATCCTTTCCAATAAATGATGTTTTTTTTTTTCAAGTAGTTAAAGATTTGAAGTTTCCACTTCTTATTTTCTTGTTTCTTCTCATTTTATTTGAAAGAGAGAGATAGATACAAGGAGATCTTCTATCAGGTGGTTCAGTCCCCAGGTGTCCTTAAGAGCCAGGTCTGGGCTGTGAGCAAGCCGGGGACCGGAAGCAGTCTGTCTCTGCTGTGTGGGATCCAAGCTTTTGATCCATCCTCTGGTGTTTCTCAAGGCACATGAACTGGAGCGGAGGCAGCCTTGACCCCAAGAAATCACATTGAAAACCCAGGCTGTCCAAGCAGCGTGTCAACTCCAGCGCCACATGCCTGCCCTTGATCTTTTCTTTAAAGCTGCTCCAAATGTATTGTACTGCCAAGAGTGGTACCATTCACTCTCCTTTATGCTCTACACACGGTCCCCAAACACTGTCACATCTCCCAGTCTCCCCTGCATCCGCCTCTCATTTTTTTTCTGGACCTCTGGCTGATGCGCTCCTCCTATTTCAGAGTGTGGGAATTCAGCAGAGACCCCTAGCAGCCACACTGCCACCAAAGAGGCAGTGACTTTTCAGTTTCATCCACAGACTCCGTTTCCGCAACACAGGTTGTTGATGAAGAATCTTGAGCTTCATTAGGCCAGAATGTCCTTTTATCCCCTTCTGATCTGGAGCAGTTTCTGCATCTCCCTATCTTTTAGGATCTTACCACTGTTAAGGAATGCATATGTGATGGCTTCCCGTGAGCAGAGTGGAGTTAGGCCTTTTGCACCAAGATACCACAGAAATAAGGTGATGGGTGCATGCGGTATGGAGTTGAACCCAAAGGCATGAGTTGATGTTTTGATCCCGCTTGGCTGAGATCGCTTCTACCAAGTTGCTCTCCTACAAAGATAATTAATAAGTATTTTGACTTTATTATGGAGTAAGTAGCATTTTCTGAGACGACACTTTGAGACTATGTAGCTGTCCTGTTTATGTCAAATGTCCACCTGCTAGTGGGACATCCGTTGATGTCCGTGGATGTTAGTGTGATGGTTATCAAATTGTGATTTTCTTTGACACTCTCTCCCCTACTTCTGTATTGGAGAGTTTTCTGTCAACTATAACACAGACCATGCTGTTTCCCCATGCATTTGTTAACGTGTGTCCTTAGGGACTTGGATTGCTATTCCAGTCAATGAATTACAAACTTCACCATTTTTACCAGATTTGCTGCTTGCTGTTCCCACGGGGGGGGGGGGGGGTAGGAGGAAGCAGGAGTTCCTTTATGCCGGATCCTCTGCCCTTTTTCATCATATTAAATATACATTTTTGCTCAATATTCATCATTCATTTGCAATGTATCCTTAAGAATCGTAAATATAATAAACATTAATAAAATTATATGTAGAAAAGTATGCAAATATAAATTTTAAAAGTATACATACATCTTATTGTAAGAAATTACCAAACAAGGACAGAAATATGGAGCATAGAGAAGAAATATGTATATATATATATATAGAGAGAGAGAGAATGTTTCCAGGCTGGCTTTGTTGGGTAGCTGGTGGATCCACCATCTGTGATGCCAGCATCCCTCACGCGCGCACTGGTTTGAGTCTCAGCTGCTCCGCTTCTGATGTCTGTGAATGCACGTGGGAACAGTGGACCATGGCCCATTGTGGCCCCTGCACCTCTGCCGAGACCTGGAATAAGCTCCTGGTTCCTGGCTCTGAGCTGCTTCAGCCCTGGTGGTTACAGCTAGTGGAGAAGATTCTCTCTTCCTCTCTCTCTCTGCAACTCTGTCTTTCAAGTAAATAAATAAACCTTCTTGCAGGGTACACAAACGTGAGAGGGGATCCCAGGAACCATCTAGGAGCCACTCAGTGGGATAATTGAGCTTTTGTGTGAAGTGGGTGATTTTAATGGCATTCTTGCTGTCAATAGATTAGTCCCCTGGAAAGTCCCAGGCCTGCTTTCCTAAGGGAGGGATGGTACCTACACAGTGAGCAGGAGTGTGCTGAGCGTGGTGAAGGCAAGGGCAACACGAGGTCCCTGCATGTCAGCAGTATCAGAGGAAGGGGGAGTTTGGGTGTTGTGGGTGGGCGTGGTCACTTGTTCTCTGCCAGGTGCGTGCCTGATTAGGTTAGGGCCCTCTCCTGGATCATCACAGCCCCAGGTGCCAGCAGGCAGCCTCATCACCCCGGCTTCCTGGTTCCCTCTCCTGCTTTGCCTCCTGCTGCTCGGTGCAGCCAAGGTCCCCTCTTTTAAAGGGCTTAGGTTATACACGTGCCTTAAACAATCCAGTTCTGTGTTGATGCTCAAAACAGATTTTGATTTATGTGGTTTTTTTTTTAAAGTTATATTTATTTGCAACATAGAATAATAGAATGAGAGACACAAACAGGGAGAGATCTTCCATCTACAACTTTACTCCCCAGGTGTCAACCATAGCTCGGGCTAGACTGAGCCAAAGCCAGGAGCCAGACATGCAACCCAGGTCTCCCACGTGGGCAGCAGGTACCTGACTGCCTTAGCTACCCCCTGTTGCATTGCGGGATGCAGACATATTAGCAGGAAGCTCTGTATACTGTCACCAGATTTAAATCCAGGCATTCTGGTATGGGGTAGGAGTGAGCCAAACCTCTTACTGCACCCAATAATTACCCTCACATCTTTGGATTTCTGTTGATTAAGTGCCTGGGAACAGGTCTGCTGGGCAAGGAAATCTGAATCTGCCTGATATTAGTGAACATTGTCAGTTTTCCAATTCACGCTTCCCACAAGATGTGTGGCATCTTTCCCTATCCTGGGATCTTGGGCCTATACCGCCCCGCCCTTTCTTGGTGTCTCTAATCCTTCCCTGACAGCTCCGTCTAATCGGTACAGCCGTGTTTGTTGTCCATTTATGCTGCCTCACACTTTGTGGAAAGCGGATTAGGCACAGGTGTGGGCCCTGTGTGTGGTAATCAGAGAAGGCATCTGGGGCGAGACAACCTCTGGCTAGGCAAAGATCCCCACGGTGGGCATGTGGGTGCATCCACTTGCTGGCACTGTTCCTAGTAGCGCTGCTGTAGAGACCAACACCCCCACTTACGTGGTGGGGATTCAAATCTGTGTTCTCTCCCCTCAACCAGAAGGCACGGACAGAGGAGAGCAGAAAAGCAGGATTTATTGAAGGGCAGAGAGATTGTGTGTTCAGACAGGCGTGCGGGGAAGCCCAGCAGGAATTGCCCCACCCCACCCAGGCTGGGATCCTCTTTGCAAAGGGAGGGCATGGCTCAGTGAGTCTCAGGCGGCAGAGTTTACAGCCCACATGGATTTCTCCAGAAAGCTGTCATGGCATCTTGATGCATGATGGGAAATGAGGCTTAGCTGCTGGGTGAGAGGGCCAATCCTTCAACCGGGCAGAGTTTATAGGGAAGGCAATGGGATTTGGGCCTTGCACGTGGCTTGGGTGCTGACAGACCTTCATTTCCCTGGCCCTTGCTGCCCCACCCACATCACCACGAAGCATTTTCCATAGAAAGTTTTGCTAAGTGCCAATTATCCATCGTCTGAGTTCCTGCTTATGGCGTGTTTCTAATTTGTACATTGAGGTTTGTCCCCAGTGTTTTTGTTAAATTGTTTAGGCTTAGGCAAGTAAGTGAGGTTGTTGGGGGGAAAAAAGAAAAGGAATTTTGGTGTCTGGTTAATTTTTTAATTGCAAAGTCAGATATACAGAAAGGAGGAGAGACAGAGAGGAAGATCTTCCGTCCGCTGATTCATTCCCCAGGTGGCTGCAATAGCTAGAGCTAGGCTGATTTGAAGCCAGGAGTCAGGAGCTTCCTCTGGGACTCCCACAAGGGTGCAGGGTCCCAAGGCATTGGGCCATTCTCGACTGCTCTCCCAGGCCACAAACAGCGAGCTGGATGGGAAGTGGGGCTGCTGGGATTGGAACCAGCGGCCATATGGGATCCCGGGCACCTGCAAGGTGAGGACATTAGCCACTAGGCTGCCAGGCCTGATCGCTTTGATCTGTGACTGAAATGCAAATTACCAAACTCCCCAGGAAGCAAGGTTGGGGCCCCTGCAACCTGCGTTTTAACAGCATACACCAGGCGATGGGCTTAAATTGAAGACTGGAAATCACTCCTGGGGCTACACTTTTCCCCAAAAATTAGCCACACCCAGTTCCGCTGAATACTTATGCTTTGGTGATACCCTTCCAAAATCAGTTAGTTCCAAATATAAATTCATTGATAAGTTGCATCTTAAAGCATCAACTGTCCAGAAATGCCTGGTGGTAGCTTCCTGTTCACAATACCCCTGTCTTGACAGGCTCTTCCTATTTGTAATTGTTGAACGTTTGCTACTAGAAGGCTGCCGCCTAACTACAGTGGTTTCCCATTGAATAGTCTGTGTAGGATCTTTTGTAAATATTTGCAGTGTCATGTAGCATCCAGGAACCGCTTCCCTGATACCGTAGCTGTGTCAAAACCAAGTGCAGATCCCACTGGCACAGCGTGGTCTGGCACAGCCACCCCTGGACTCGTCTCCCAGAGGCAGCGGTAACGCCACGGGCGCTGTGATGGAGACAACAGTGTCCCTGCCTAATTAGCTGAGAGGTGTGGAAAGCAAGATGATTGGGCCCCAGGAGAAGGAAGAGTGTCCCCAGTGAACCCCACCGGAGGACCTGTTAGGTATGGGAGGATTGTTGTTTTAATTAGAGGTTTGCTTTGGAAATGTCTTCTTTCTTCTTTAGCATCCTCATCAGCTCCATTAAAAACAAAATAAAACAGAAAGGTCACCAGTTATAAGCCATCTGGCCACCCGGAACAGAATTATTAAATGGGCTGTTCAAAGTAAACCTAACTGCCAATAGTCTGTACTCTCTCCTGAATTCTTAGTTCAAGAGAAGGATCAGATCTTTTGCTTTATTTTGTTTTGTTTTCAAAAGATCTTCCATTTACTAGTTCACTTCCCAAATGGTTGCAAAGGCCCAAGTTGAGAAGGACTCGCCTCCCAGTTTCCCACATGGATTCAGGGTCCCAAGGTCTTAGGCTGTCCTCTGCTGCTTTTCCCAGGCCACAAGCAGGCTGTTGGATGGAAAGCGGAGCAGCTGAGACATGAACCCATGCCCATTTGAATCCTGGCACTTGCAAGGGGGGTGGGATTAGCCAATTGAGCCATTGTGCCCAGGCTCCGCCCAGATCCTTATAAGAATAAATCCCTGAGTTGCTCAGCCTGCGAAGCGAAGCACATAGAGAGACCCTCGCCCGGAAAAGCGCAGGGACGGACACCATCTGACCTCATTGACCTAGCCCTTTCTCCCAAGCTGCCTTGGGCTCTCCATGACACTTCAGCAAAGTTTACACCAGCCAGGGGTCTACGTGCCTTTTCTGCTATTCACTTCACCAACTCAGTGTCTCTGATCAGTCCCCCATCTCATCAGGTTCTCTCTCAACTCAATCGGGAATGGAAAGACAAGTCCCAGCACAATTATGAAAGCATAAGGAAGTTTGCCCGGGCACATGCCATGAGCAGAGGGAAGGTGCTCCGAGAAGCATGCACATTTCCGCCACGTGCCAGGCTGTGCCTGGAAGCGCTCCTCCAGCCGAAGCTTCTGGGGCCTCTCTGCCAACAAGGTGAAGGCCACAATTCGTTTTGTTTTAGTACAACACACACAATGTCTTTCCTGCCTCTTCATTTGTTGACTTAGCCTGGCAAGCAGAAAATTCACAGAAGACAGAGAGATGCCCTCCACCTACCTTCAACCTTATGTGAGTCTCACTGAAGCCCGGAAGTTAATTAATTCCAAAGCTGATCACCATGAGTTTCTTTCTTTCTTTCCTTCCTTCCTTCCTTCCTTCCTTCCTTCCTTCCTTCCTTCCTTCCTTCTTTCCTTCCTTCCTTCCTTTCTTTCTCTTTCCTTCTTTTCTCTTCTTTTCTTTTCTTTTCTTTTCTTTTCTTTTCTTTTCCTTAAGATTTATATTTTTGTTACAGAGTCAGATAGACAGAGAGGAAGTTTTTCCAACTGCTGATTCATTCCCCAAGTGCCCACAACAGCCAGAACTACGCTGATCCAAAGCCAGTTGCCCGAAGCCTCTTCCAGGTCTCCCACACATATTCAGAGTTCCAAGACTTTGGGCCGTCCTCGACTGCTTTCCCAGGCCACAAGCAGGGAGCTGGATGGGGAGTGGGGCTGCCGGGATTAGAACCAGTGCCCATATGGGATCCCGGCAAATGCAAGGCGAGGACTTTAGCCACTAGGCTACTGTGCCAGACCGCATGATTTTATTTCTTTAAAAAAAAAAGGGGGGGGGGCTTATATATTTGCAAGACGGAGTTATACAGAGAAATACCCCATTCAGTGTGAGAAATAACTATAGTGACCAGGGCTGGATCAGGGCAAAATCAGGAGCCTGGAGCTCCATCCAGGTCTCCCACATGGGTGACAGGAGGCCAAGCATCTCCAGTGCTTTCCTGGGAAAGGGGCTGGATCAGAAGTGGAGCAGCTGGGACTTGAACTGGTGCTCACATGAGATGCCGGCGTTGCAGACAGTGGCTTCACGTGCTGTGCCCCAAACACAGATCTTAGTGCGTTTTGTTAATTTCACGTGTGTATGGGGTTTCTCACAAGACAGGGAAGTCCAAAGAAATGACCCAGGTATGGTGATGTTACCAGGGACTTCACACTGTTCATGGAAAACACAACTAAAACCCAAGTTTATTTTAGTGCCCAAACTTATTTGAAATCCATACAGGCTTTTTTTCCCCCACAGCATCACAGCATGCACGAACTGCTTGCAGTGCCTTCGTGCTTTTGAGATAAAAACATAATACATCAGTGAAGGAAAGGCATGATACGCGCAACTCTGACCAGAGTGGCTCATTCTGGTTCTGTTGCTAGGAGGAGGGTGGGGCGGGAAGGGCTGGCGGCAGGGAAGCGTAGCTCCAACATGTGTTCTTATTCCAGTTCATTACAGCTCCAGCTGCTAGTCTCTGGTGACAAAGCCTGTCTTGGAGCCTGCATAATGGAGGGTTGTTCTTTCCCAAAGAAACTTCAGGAAGGAAAACGACAAGCTCAAGAATGTTGTCACCCACACAGCCGGGTGGGATGTTTCACCATCACTCCTTCAGGCCCAGTGCACCTGTCACTCACCTTACGCTAGCTCGCGGCCGAGTCGGGCCAGGGCTGGTGGACCCTTCTCTTACAAAGGGCCTGAATACACAGGGAAGGTCATTCTCCTAGCCCCTTGTCCCTTGAGTATCTTCCTTTAGAAAAAATGTGTTATTATCATTATGATTTGAATTTGAAGAACAGAGTTATAGAGCGGAGGCCTGGGAGAGAGGCAGAGATCTCACATCTGCTAGTTCACTCCCCAAATGGCTGCAGTGGCAGGGCTGTGCTAGATGGCAGCCAGGAATCCAGAAGCTTGCAGATCTCCGGGTTGGTACAGGGGCCCGAGTTCTAGGGCCATCCTTCGTTGCTTTCCCACACACATCACTAGGGAGCTGGACGAGAAATGGAGCACCCAAGACTTCAGCCAGCACCCACCTGGGATGCCGGCGCTGTGGGCAGCAGCTACACTTGCTATGCCACAGCACCAGCCTCTGTTTATTTCTCTTATTTATTAAGATCCTAAATCCCTCATCATTTCAAATAAAAGCTGCCTTTTCAGTTTTAAGTTCTTTAGTTTTGAGGTTCCTGGCTTCATTGTGCATCTTTGGGAGGTGAACCGGTGAATGTAAAATCTTTCTCTTTTTTTTATTTTTATTTGCAAGGCAGATTTACATAGAGAAAGAGACAGAAAGAAGGGTATTCCGTCCCCTGGCTTGCTCTCCACATGGGTGTGGTGGCCAGAGCCAAGCCCATCTGGAGCCAGGAGCCAGGAGTTTCCCCCAGGCCTCCCACATGGATGGAGGGTCCCAAGGCTTTGGGCCATCCTGATCTGCTTTCCCAAGCTACAGGCAGGGAGCTAGATCAGAAGTGGAGCAGCCAGGACACAAACTGATGTCCATATGGGATCCTGGCGCCTACAAGGTGAGGATTTAGTCGTTAAACCTTTGCACGGTCCCAAAATAAATACATCTTTTGAAAAAAAATTTGTTTATGGGCCTAGCGCAGTAGCCTAGTGGCCAAAGTTCTCACCTTGCATGCCCGAGAAGCACTGTGTCACCAAAGTAGCCCCATCACAATGTTTTTGAAGTCATTTGTACACAGAAATAAATATGAATGGAATGAAGAGAAGGGCTTTCAGCTAGGCCCAGGGAAGGGTGAGTATGCCTAGCTGGATGAATTACCTAGTTTGGGAATACTTGTTTCCGAAGCGAGGGACAAGCCCTGGCAGCAGGATGGCTGAGTGTGTCCTGGCTTTGTAAGGAAGGCTGAACAGCCCACAGTGTCCCCTCCGGGGGGCGGGTCACATGCGAGGCCTGTCACAGGGAAAGGTCACAGCTGACAGATAGCCTCTTTACAGACGCAGCGATTTTTTTCTTGAACAAGAAGTTTTCCTGGAGAGATTGAACGCTTAGAGGCTGAGAGTGGAGAGCATCAACCAAGGTCAGCCAACAGAGCTGCGAGGAAACGGCTCTGTTTCTCAGCAGAGTTCAGAAATACGATGACAATTCCTGATTTGGCTATGCCTTCATCTTTTGAGAGCACAGCCTTCCTGGTGTCTGCCCCCTGAGCCTGTGAACATTTGAACCCACTGCTATGGAGCTCACACTTGAACGCGTCCCCTTGCCTCGAAGCCCTGAGTCTGCCCCGTCGGTTTCTCAAGTGCTAAATATCTTCATGTTCGTCCTTCCACCAGCAGGCTTTGCCAAACTAGGTACTGAAATGACTGTGCTAGTCAGAAATAGATAGGACAGCATGTCTGTCCCTTACACGTATTTCCTTTTATAAATTTTACAAATATTTTTAGAGATGCAATTGTATTTAAAAGTATTTATTTGGAAAAGGAGGAGTTTGGGATGCCTCCGTCCTGGGCGCTTGGGACGGCTCTGACTGCTAGGTTCCATGGAAAACACTGCGGATCAGGCTCCTGTGCCGCAGCTAGGGAACGGCTCCGGGTCCCCTTCGCATTGACGGCAGAATCCAAGGGTGGAGTGGGAAGAGCAGAGCTATGGCGGGAGGAGGGAGAAAGAGGTACTCTGGGAAGGGTAGGAAATGCAAACCAGGAAAGCTAAAAGAAGGAGAACTCCAATGTGCCCAGGAAGTGGTGCTTCCTGGGGCTCGGGGTCGGGGGACTCGTGTTCTGGCACTGGAGTGGGAGCGCGGGCTCAGCTGGCGCTCCGTCCCTTCCCTTAGGGCCTGGGTAGAGACTTTTCAAAAAGCCACAGGGAGGACGGGAGGACGGGACTTGGACCCTGGGGGTTGGGTAGAGGCTTGGAGTTGGTACATTCAGCTAAATAGTGAGGGGAAGTGGGAAGCAATGGGTCGTCAAGCGGATGCTTTAGAAGTCATCCATTTTAAGAGGATCTCAGAAAGAATGCGTCGGATTCAACAATAGCGAGTTGAAAAATAAATGGTTGGGTCCTTTGCCAAGACACTGGTATATGCGCCAGCAAGGGAAAAACAACACGCGTTTCCCAGATGCCATTCTCTGAGGATTCCATTGTATTCTCTGGGTGGTTTAAAAAAAAAAAAAGCGCCTGGCTCTTAATCCCCAATATGAAAATCATTTGTGAGGGAGTTTAGGGTCTTCCTGTGTAACTTTAAGGTCTCATGCAAATCAGGGCTTGTAGCTCGGGCTGGTTCATCAGACTGCAACATCCAAGCACCACCCCCCTTGCTCACAAAGTCTAGGACTCCCGGCAATTTCAGATTGGAGGTGGGGAGTGGGCCTGGAACTCCTCCCCCTGCCAGCTCCGGGCTTGGAAGAGGGTGGGGCGCGCCAGAAAGCCTTACAACGGAGCTGCCACGGGGGAGGCTTCCCTTTATTTTAGAGTTTGTCACTTGAGTCCTGTTTCAATGAGACAGCAGAACAGAGGCTGTGACAAGGGCGTGGGCTGGCCCGCACACAGGGCCATGAGCCACAGAGGGGACAAAGCCCCAGCTCATCATTTCCAACCTCGGCTTCCACCGCGCCGTCGGTTCCCCGGGCGGTAATAAGGAGAGGAGGGCGGGGAGGAACATGGGAAATGAAAGGAGAGAGCTCTGAAAAACTAGAGCTGAAACCGGAGGAGAAAGAATTAGCAGAGTTCTCAGTGCGAGAGCGCACGGACGAGCTTGCAGAGGGAGGAGGCACCGGCTGAGCAACCTGCTACTAGGATTCAGACAAAGGAAGGTTGAGGGAGGCAGATCGGATTCTAACACGGGCATGAGGAGGGAGGCAGAGCCCGCCGCTGGATTCACCGTGTGAAATCGGCTACATTCCTCGGGATAGGAAGGACCGGAGTATGTGCCGAAATAAGCACCTGGAGGAAAAAGTAAGTGTGGCAGAGGGCTTGGAGATCTGGCATCGGACGTCCGCCCCTGTCTCGAGGCATGCCTCCCTCCACGCGTTATCTCTTCGTGGTCTCCGTCTCCACGGTGGTCATTTTCATCGTGTTCTATGCGTTCAGCTTCGGGGACGAGCAGAGCTCCCCGAGGCTCAACGCCTCCGAGGCTTTGTTGCTGGCTCAAGTTTGCACGTCCTTCATCCACGGGAAGACACCTTTCCTGTGGAGGAACAAACTCGCCATCCACGAAAAGGCTTCCTGCAAGGATTACCTGACGCAAAGCCACTACATCACGGCGCCTTTATCGCAGGAAGAAGCCGAGTTTCCTTTGGCGTACACCATGGTCATCCATCACAACTTCAACACCTTTACCAGGCTCTTCCGAGCCATCTACATGCCCCAGAACGTCTACTGCGTGCACGTGGACGAGAAGGCGTCCGCCGCCTTTAAGGGGGCCGTGGAGCAGCTGCTGCGCTGCTTTCCCAACGCCTTTCTGGCCTCCAAGACGGAGCCGGTGGTCTACGGGGGAATTTCTAGGCTGCAAGCCGACCTGAACTGCATCAAGGACCTCGTGGCCTCCACGGTGCCCTGGAAATACCTCATCAACACGTGCGGGCAAGATTTCCCCCTCAAGACCAACCGGGAAATCATTCAGTACCTGAAGGGCTTTAAAGGGAAGAATATCACCCCGGGGGTGCTGCCCCCAGCTCATGCCGTCGGCCGGACTAAATTCGTCCACCGGGAGCACCTGGGCAAGGAGGTCTCCTACGTGGTGAGAACCTCCGCTTTGAAGCCCCCTCCCCCGCACAATCTCACCATCTACTTCGGCTCTGCTTACGTGGCTCTCTCCCGAGAGTTTGCACACTTTGTCCTGCATGACCCGCGGGCTGTGGACCTGCTCGCCTGGTCCAAAGACACCTTCAGTCCCGATGAGCATTTCTGGGTGACGCTCAATAGGATTCCAGGTAGGTGTGATGACGTGTTCCCTGCAGAAGTTGTATTCACTGGGGTCTGTACTCACCGGGTCAACCCAGTGCAGATGGAAATGGATCTAAAACAATCGCATTGGTGCTGAACAGCATCCAGACTTGAGCTCTCATCAGTCCTCTGGAAACAACCCAGCATAACTATTTATATAGACCTTAGGCGGTATTAAATAGTGTAGGGGAATCTAGCGATGAGTTAGAGGGTGTTGGTTACCTGTAAATATACTTGATGTTACCTAGGGCACTTGAGCATCTGCATACAGATGGAGGTTGAACTACACAATGTAAACTCTTGGCTTTTGTAAATACAGAATGATGCTCTTCATATGGTAATGTGAATATTCTAGCACTGCCAAATAACACCTTTCCATGACACGGCTTTACAGTTTATCAGGCTTTAACATATAGGATGTATTTTTCCCCTTAAGCTTGTTTGTTTCATTGAAAGGGCAGCAGAGTGAGAGAAAAGAGTGGACAGATACCTTCCATGCATTGATTGACTTCTCAAATGGTCACATTGACCAGGGCTGGGTGGGGCCCAAGCCTGAAGCCAGTTGGGTGGCACACGGACCAGCCCCCTTCCAAGCAGCTGGCCCGGAATCCAGTACAGGATGCTGGCATCGCAAGTGGCAACTTGAGCTGCCGGGCCCAGCCAGCGTGTGTCATCTTATCTAGTCTTTGCTGTAGTAGATCTGACTGTTCTTAGTGACACTGGCATTTGTCTCTCCCTTAGATTTGTCAATCTTACTTGTAGCCCAGGACCCTTCCTTGGCCGACCTATACACCTTTGCCATCCGACACCTGCCTCCTCTTACCAGCCAGCTCCCAGCTGCCAGGCTCCGTGGTTCTTACCTTCCCCGGGCCATTCGTCAGCAGATACCCACCCTGTATTCCCTTTAAGGACTTTATACAGTCTGATATGGTCATATTTGCATGGGTTGGTTTTTTGGCCTCATCTGCACCAGTTGGGCTTGCTAACTACTGTAGCCTCAGTGCTTGGAACTTACAGTAAATGCTCAATAAATATATACTAGATGAGGCCAGTGTTAAGGCACAGCTGTTTAACCCACTGGCCATGAGGCAGTTATCCCATAGGATGGCTTATCCCAATCCCAGCTGCTCTACTTTCCATCCAGCTCCCTTGCTAATGCTACTGGGAAAGCGGCAGAAGACAGTCCAAGTCCTGGGGCTCCTGCCCCTCTGTGGGAGACATGGATAAAGCTCCTGGTCCAATCAGCCATTACGGCCATTAGATAGATATTAGGTGAGTGAAAGGCAATGCATGAGGCTTTGCTACAAGACACAGCTGTATTACTGACTCTGGGAGCTGAGAAATATTTGACCTGTGCGTATGTCAGATAACCTGTATTGAGTTTTGTTTTGGTTTTTTAAATACAGGATTATATATAATCGTTGAATTCAAGCTTATAATTCTACAGAGTCCTTTGTTTTTGCTTTAGGTTTATTTCTCTTTATTGGAAAGGCAGAATTAAAACACAGAGAGGAGAGACAGATTTTTTTCCATCCTCTGGCTTCCCCAGTCGCCACAGTGCCCAGAGCTGGACTGGTCCAAAGCCAGGAGCGAGGAGATTTCTCTGGATCCCTTACGTGAACACGAGGGCCCAAGGACCTAACGCATCTCTGCTTCTTTCCCAGGCACATTGACAGGGGACTGAATCAGAAGTGGAGCAGTCAGGACCACAACTCCCAAGTGGAGGCTTACCTTGTAACACCATGCTGCCAGCCTCTAGAGTTTCCTTTGAAAATACGTAAGATAAAGATTAAGATTCCAAGAGAGATTCCCTTTGCTTTCACCAACCTTGTCTCCCTGGTTTTTATTAATCATATATAATATTTAAACACAGAAACACACACGCATGCATACATATAAAACATGATAGGGTTTCTTTGGAAGGCAGTTGTGCTTTGGATCCAATTTAAAGTGTGAGTTGGGGTCATAGAACGGTAGCCTAGTGGTTAATGTCCTCACCTTGGACATGCCAGGATCCCATATGGGCACTGGTTCCTGTCCTGGCAGCTACACTTCCCATCCAGCTCTCTGCTTGTGGCCTGGGAAAGCAGTCAAGGACGGCCCAAGGCCTTGGGACCCTGCACCCACGTGGGAGACCCGGAGGAAATTCCTGGCTCCTGGCTTTGGATCGGCTCAGCTCTGGCCATTGTGGCCTCTTGGGAAGTGAGTCAGTGGATGGAAGATCTTCCTCTCTGTCTCTCCTCCTCTCTGTATACCTGCCTTTCCAGTAAAAATAAATACATCTTTAAAAAAATATGTGACATGGACTGCTGATGAAGTGGACAGCGTAATTACAGCAGGAGAAAAACCATTATTGTTCTAGTGGTTGGGGGCCTGCCAAGTTAGAGATTGGTAGGTGCCCTTGACGCAGGGCAGGGCCTGTTGGGTGCTAAACAGGCCAGGCTTCTCTGCAAAGTGCCGGGTTTGGTCTCTGGAACCCAGATGTGCTGGCTGGTGAGCTGGCTGACCCTGTGCTACACACTTTTTCTGTCCTTGGAGCACCCTCTTCCCACTCCTGACCTTCCGTCACTGGCATAAGGTCCCTAGTGCGATAGGGAAGTTGATGTCCATGTTCAAAGAGCTCTGTGCTGTTGTTAGCATCCCTCTGAAATTTAACAGGCCACCTGGTTGCTTCTGTATTCTTGTACCCAGACAACGGCGTTTTTAATAAGACAGTCATTTGTGTTACAAAGTTAGAGATTCCTCCATCTACTTGGTTTACTCTCCACAGGCCCGCAATAGCCAGGGGCTGGGTCAACTTGAAGCCAGGAGCCCAGAATTTAACTCAGGACTTCCAGATGGTGGCAGGGGCTTGAGTATTTGGGTCGTCTTCCACTGCTTTCCCAGGCACCGTAGCAGGAAGCTGGCATTGGCGCAATCAGGGCCCAGCACTGGTAAGGAATGCAGTTGGCTCAAGCAGTGGCTCAGCCTACTGCACCACAACACTTGCCCCTGTTGCTTTGTTTTTTGTGTTTGTTTTTGAAGATTTATTTAGTTTTATTGGAAAGGCAGATGCACAGAGAGGAGGAGAGACAGAGAGGAAGACCTTCTGTCTGATGATTCACTCCCCAGTCCGAAGCCAGAAGCCAGGAACTTTCCTCCAGGTCTCCCACACAGGTGCAGGATCCCAAGGCTTTGGGCCGTCCTTGACTGCTTTCCCAGGCCACAAGCAGGGAGCTGGATGGTAAGTGGGGCCGCCAGGATTAAATCAGGCACCCATATGGGATCCCAGTGTGTTGCAAGACAAGAACTTTAGCCACTAGGCTACTGTGCTGTGTCCTTCTTTTCCTTTTTTTTTTTTTTTTTTACTTTAAGATGTATTTAGCTGAAAACCAGAATTATAGAGTGAGAGGGAGAACAGGAGGGATCTTCCATCTGTTGATTCACCCCCTACATGGCTCAATGGCCAGGACTGTGCTTGTTTGAAGCCAGGAGCCAGGAGCTTCATCTGTGTTCCCTACATGGAGGGCATGGCCCTAAGAACTTGGATCATCCTCCACTGCTTTCCCAGGTGCACTAGCAGGGAGTTGATTGGAAGTGGAGACTCTGGGACTTGAACTGGCGCCCATAGGGGATGCCGGGATGCCAGCATTGGAACCAACAGTTTTAACTTTTTTTTTTTGTCATAATTTCAGCCCTCCTCGATGCACTTTTCTTTGCAGAAGACAAAATGCTGAGAACCTCAGAAAGATGTCACAAATCCAGATGTAGCCAGAGAAAGCGGGGGGTATTGTGGAATCCATGCCACTTGCAACTTGGCTAGAGCACCCCGTTTTGTTTGCAGGAATTGAGGAGGTGACAGCTCCTCTGGACAGCAGCTGTCCACACAGATAACTGAGCATCACCCACAGCAGGTGTCTGTCCGGTCTGACTCTGCGAGGAATAGGTTTCCCGATAAGATGGCACTTCCAGGGCTTTTGCCTCCTTCCTGTCTTTGACTATGGACAAGTGTCTAGTTCAGGGAGGGCGGCTGTACCACTCACAGGCAGGGCATTTCCAAATTACAAAATCCCAGGCGCTGGGATCCCATAGGGACGCCGGTTCATATCCTGGTAGCCCTGCTTCCCATCATGCTCCCTCCTTGTGGCTTGGGAAGGCAGGAATTTAAAAAAGAAATAAATCATAGTGATTCTTTCCTTTGAAGTCAACGTAAAATCTAACCGCACATTGTATTTTAGCATTCCTAGCATTTAAAACATCGGTTCTTTAGCAGCACACTTTAATGCCATGTGGTTAGGGACAGAATGCTGTCAGCATAACTCAGTGTCTTATATGCAAGCCTGCATTTTTAGGGTGTCTGTTCATTTCTTCCCTCCTAACCTTTCCCTGTCTGAAATAACTCAAGTGTGTGTGTGTGTGTTAACATTTATTTGAAAGGCAGAATAGAAAGAGGTAGAGAGGAAAATCTTTTCAACCACTGGTTCACTCCCTCCCCAAATTGCCCAAGTGGTTGGTGTTGGGCCAGGCCAAAGCCGGGAGCCTTGAATCCCATCTGGTTCTCCTGTGTGGGTGACAGGAGCCCCAGCACAGGGTCATCTCCTACTTTTCAAGGTGTGTTAGAGGGTGGGATGGGAAGTGGAGTAGCCGGGACACAAACTGGCGCCCATATGGGATCCCAGCACATACAAAGCGAGGAGTCAGCTACTGAGCCATGACGCTGGGCCCCCACACTGATCTTTGTTTCCCAGTGTCATCTTTCTGGAGAGCCTTCTCTTTTCAGTATGACCAAAATAGTATTGGGAATAGACACATGGCTTTTTTTTTTTTTAAGATTTTATTTTATTTTTATTGGAAAGGCAGATCTACAGAGAGACAGAAAGTTTTTCCATCCACTGGTTTCTTTCCCAAATGACTGCAGTGCCTGGAGCTGAGTAGATCCAAAGCCAGAAGCTTCTTCTGGGTCTCCTGTGTGTATGCAGGGTCCCAGAGCCTGGACACCTTTACTTTTCCAGGCTACAAGCAATGAGCTGGATGGGAAGTGGAGCAGCTGGGCCATGACCCGATGCCCATAAGGGATCCTGGCACTTGCAATGTGAGGATTAGTCAATTAAGCCATTGCCTAAGGCACCTGCATCCCTTATAGGGAAGGGATAGATTCAAGTCCTAACTGTTCTGCTACAACTTCCTGATAGGCTGCACCCTGGGAGGCAGGGTGATGGCCCACATACTTGGGTCCCTGCCACCCCCATGGGAGACCTGGACTGAGTTTTTCCACAGTCGGTTCCTGGGGCCAGATTGTCGTCTGGTCCCACCGCAGGGTGAGTCTGGCGCCCAGCTGTGGCGTGCTTTGGCTGCAGCGCCATCTCGCCCCGTGGCTGCCTTCAGCTTGTGCCCCGACTCTAGCTCTGTGTTCCGCCTACTGCCTCTCTTGCGTAAGAATGTTCTCATCTACCTCTCTGCCTTTTTTCCATTTTGTATACATTGTTCTTTTTTTTCAGAGCTCCTTTGTCAAATAAATTACCTCAGAAGGAACCACGTGATGACATTTCCTCGCCTTTTAATTCCAAAAATAGCATGTTTCCTATTTTGATTTA